TAATTTATTCATATTTCTGTGTTTTCTGCTTTGCATGTCATTGCTCTGAAGATGTCTTAAGTTAAAGACGTGGCTTTCTAATAAATATTTTTAACTATATTTTTGTTACGGCTCTTTTACGTATTTTCTGCTGAGCATTAATATTTATCTTAAGATTACGATTTCCGCCCGGTTCATCTATCGCAAGTAACTGAATGATGCGCTAGCTTAATGAGCGATAACATTCGCTGCAATTTCATGTATACCAGCTTGCATTAAAACACAGTATTTATTGTGAATTATCAAGTTAACAATGGCTTAAAAATTTCGCAGATATGAATAAAATCGACAACACAAAGCAAGTACGGCATGGGATTTTAGTACCGAAATGTTTACACTTACATGACATCAACATCAAAACAATTACTACAAACTTTGTTTCACGGTTGAACAGCCACAAATTCATGAAACTTCAGGCGTATTTCCACTTAAAATCGAAAAATAAACCCGTTTTGTACTTTTGTAAAAATTTTTACGAAATTTAAAACAAAAAATTGCTGTAAAACAGCAAAATACGCCCTTTCAAATTTTAAACTTGTACTCGCGCATGCGCAAAACGTCGAAAACCGTCTATGACAAACAAACTGGAGGACAACTTTACACTGCGCTATGTTTTCACATACCTGGGTATAATTAGCCGTGCGGAATTAGTACCCTCGCGCCGGACATACGCCTGGATCGGTCGGGGACAATAAACAAAAATCGTTCAACTACTTAAATACTATACAGGACCAAAACAAAACCTATCAAAAAGGTCGCCCCGCCCCGAGTTATTGGGCCTTCGACAAAGAATTCGAAGATATATTTTAATACCTGCAATTTATTTACAAAATATACTCAAAAGTCAAAAGTGATTTTTAAACATGAGGATTATTTAAGGTAACTTGGTATACCACTGTAAAAACGTCAACTTTATTCATGTTTTAGAAGGGATAAAACAAAAGGACTAAAAGCTCAGTATAAATAACAATATACCTGGAGTTGGGACTGTCAAAATGTTTTATAGTATTATACCTTTTCTGAGTCAAAGAGCAAAGTTAGCGGAATGTCGAAACTCTATAGTAATTTTTTTCAGAATACGAAACTCCTCAATTTTCGCTGCAGAGAGATGTAAAACAGTCGGAACTAATCGGGAAACTGGCTTTTAATCCCAATCATTGAAGTCTTCCCTTGGGAAAAGTATTTTTCTTGCAAAACCAAAACCAAATTTTTGACTGGATTTTTCTCACTCCTCGAAACTCTAATCAGTCCTTTTGAAAGTTGATTTTCCGACGCGTCGGCTTCAACAATCGTAGGCCTTTATCATAGGAGTTAGCGTTCCAGTTTACATCTAGTTCAATGCCTAAGATACAAATCACGTGTATACATGTAATTGTATAGTTCCGCTTGCACGCCAAAAAAGTGGAATCTCGTTCAACTGTCAAGCAGGACAGCTATATCGCGTATGTTAAAAAGTTCGCTTGTCCTGTGCAAGCATGCGCGATCGTAATGGAAAACGGCCTTAAGGTTTGGAATAAGATAACGAAAATTGTTCTCTTATACTCGTTGGCTGTGTCCGACATAATATGTTAATGCTATAGAATGCAGGAAAGTAGAGAAGTACCTTGACAAAGCTGACAGTAATATTAAATTAAATATTAAAATACATACAATAAAGTAATATAATATAAAAACAATAACAGTTATTGAAATGAAACACCTCCTTTATTCAATTTAAGGGGTAAAGAAGCAACCAACACAGGCTCAGGTCCCGAATTCTTCGGATTTTCCCATCCTACGATTCAGTACCTCTTGCAAAGTTTGCCATATGCTCGTAAATGTGCCAAGTACCAATGGGTGAAGTTTGAGTTACCAAAAAGCAAATCATCAGGTGATGCAAATTCTGTAATCTTGTCGAGAGCAATAGTATTATCGTAGGTTGATCTGGTATAGTTCATGTTTTCGAATGCGAACGTCCCTGAATTCAGGTATTCAACGTTGAGCTACTATATTTTTACTCTCCACTAACAGTAGGATCTATGGATCTTCGTATCTGATCGTTTGAAAAAACTAATTCTAATTCCTTGTTTTCACTGGCATGAAATTAAGGATATTGTCTTCTTCTATATATAAATGTAAATCCGTGATGTACGAACTTGGCATTGATCAAATAGCTTCTTCATCATTCAATCTGTTCAAGTTCTGATGATGTCATTCATGTCTGTCTATTTTCTCGGAATAACTTGCCTTCTGAAAATTAATGATTTAAAAATCGTCCTCTTTGATTGCTATCCTGAAGATTAGGCTTAATGTACTGTATATTACTGTTTGATTATACCATCCTAGAACTAGAAAACTCTGTGTTGTAAAGGTCCAGACACACTGGACGCGATTCGACAACGCGACGCGATTTTTTAGTTTTTGAAAGTTAATAAAACAAGTCAATGAGAGCAATTTTTGAATGATATGTAGACCAAATAACTCCAAATGTTATAGCGCTTCTAAATATTTGGAAAATTTAAACTAGGATCAAAGTTATCGGTCAGTGAAAATCGAAAAATCGCGTCGCGTTGCCGAATCGCATCCCGTGTGTCTGGACCTTAAGTGTCGTTCGTTACAAACAAAATGTTCGCAAATGTATGCCATTAGATGTCAGTTCTGTAATTTTCGCGTGTTATTGTGTTTTAATGTAATGTAAATTTTTGGTGGGAGTTAATTAGGGACTTACATGTTTATCTGTTGCCCTTACCATAAGTCATCATTGTTAAGTTATTAAAAAAATCCCAGATTTTCGCCCCAATGATTTTGAGGTATTCATTCTGTAACTTGAAACAGCCAGTGAGCTCTATATATATCTGGAGTAAGAACTTCAGTCATTCGGTCAATGAGAAAAGTGACGCCAAGATGGCGGCCATTAACGTCCTAATCTATGAAGGTCATAAACAGTTTTTATACCATTTTCCCCAGTTAATTTCTAATGGACCGTATCACTAATCAAGTTTTCAGTTCATAAAATCACAATATTATTCTTTAAATCGAAGTCAAAATACGAAATTTCAACACACTCCTTGCCAAGATGGAGGAAATTGAAGGAGTTCTTGGACGTCAGTTCCAGTCCCTTTCTATTGTTTTTGTATGCGCGGTTAACACGAAACTGGCTTCACTTTGAGCAACCAAGTTTCTACTCCAGATATATATGGAGCTCACTGGAAACAGCATGTACTTTTACCAGTTACAACCACAAAGAACGCATCACATCCAGAAACTGCAAGTGTTACCACTGCGAGGTATCCTAAGTTCACGCGTATGCGCCACTTTTAGCATATACGTGAGTTGTACAAATGACACTAATCTATAGTGAGATTCAGTTAACCAAGACATTCTTTATGGTACCTCCCTATCCTCGTCCATTAATTATCTTTAATGCTGAGGTCTACCGGAAATGTCTAATTGACATACAACCACTAAATTCGGCTTTTGAAAATTATATGGAACAAGCAAAATGTTGGTACCATACGTAGATAGTAAGAGCCTTGCTTACCATACGTTGTACGTTGTCAAAAACAAAGAAGTACCAGACCGTAATATTAAAGTTTTTCCGGTGCGGACAGACTAATGTGCGAATCATTGCATCCTTTCAAAATTATCTGATTTTGTTCTAACGGGTAATGTTGGTATTACTTTAGGTAAATTGGGCTCTAATAGCGCTCCAAATGACGAATCCGTGACGAGCAGTGAGCAGCAGGAACATACACAGACTAGTTTCGATTCTGACGAAATGTTTAATGGTATGTGAAAACATTAAAATAATTAAGTCCACTTCCACAATACATAACATGACTTGTTATATGCCTACCGTTGCTTCGTACAGATGCGTCTAATGTTGTATTTTGGATATTTTGCAGTTGTATTTTTGGTTTTCTACGCCAACAATGTTTAGTAAATACCCGTCGTTAACTGCTACGTAAACGTCAATAGAATATTTCAACACACAGTAAAGTACAATAATTTCTGAAAGCCTTTGAATGATAGTTGAATAATAATATTTCAACCATTATAGCATTGGTAGACTATAAGCTAAGCTTTCAAGAACTGAGATTTCCAGCAACAAAAGGTGATCATATATGGTAGCAATCGAAAAGCTCCCCCACCTCAATATTTCGCGAAGTGTCCACCACTGATCTTTTTCACTTACTTCAGCGTGGTAGATGGAGGTAACGGTTTTACATGGTGCAACTGAACCACGCTTTCATTAATGCATGTGCATTTTCTTTCTAGAGACTCCAATGGATGATTCTTCTCCGAATACGATGCACAATCTGACATTGACAAGTGTTGCATCCAATATATCCGAGGTACCTTCACCTGGATTTGACAGTGACATGCTTGGATACCAACTTAAGTCAACCAGCGGCGATCCAAGTTTGGATTTAGGTATGAATACACTGTGGTTTAGAGAATTGATTCTTCACTGAATTAGTATATAGCTTTATAGCTTCTCTATAGGTTCTGTTGAAATGTTTCAAATCCAGGACATGAATCGGATTGCAAGATTTATTGGTTATTGTACTACATCCTGACTATTTACCCACATACCTTATACTAAAATCACAATATATACAAGAACATGTATACATGTATACAAATGTATCACAATATATACAAGAACAAGTTAATGCTGGGCAACTGCACGCTGTAGCTCAGTGGTCAGAGCGTTGCACGAGAAGTGCAGGACTGCAGATTCGATTGCTATGCCTGTGGTTGCATTTTCTGTTACTGCTCTGGTTCAGGGTCTAAAAATGTAATTTTCGCTGGAAATTACCATCTTCAAAAACCCTTCAACATTACTGTACTACATAAATCCTACTGTACGTGCAATAGAGGTAGTTGTACCATTCGTGTCTTAATTGAGAGGAGGTATTAATTCCGGGTTTTTTTTTCCATTTTCCTAGGAACACCTATTTCGCCTCCTCAGAGTAGCCTCTCATCGCCACTACAGCTCTCGCCAAAGATCAACACAAATGCTATGTCGCCATCAGCCACATCCCAACCGTCCTTTATCATTCCACCCAGTTCGCCGTTGTTTCATTTCGATGATGAGGGCTTACCAGATTAACCAAGTGCTTGGCAAGTTGTTTCATATGACAATTCGAATGTTCTTCATGAACTGCCTTATGCTTGCAAGCAAACTTTTGACAGCCTTAAAGTTATTCAATCCTCAAGCGTCCCGGAGTATCACCTTGCATTTATGGTAACGATGAGTTAGCGATTCAATGGCACAATCCCTTCATGATTATAATACAAAGAAGTTGGACCTTCCATTTATTGCCCGATGGGCAGTGTTATCAGGCATTACGTTGTGTACATTCGGACAAAGCTATGTCTTGGCTCGATTATTGCAATGCCTATCGGGAAGGTACTAACCATGTAATGGTTTCTTTAGTGCTTTAAGCGAATGTAGGTCAAGGACTCCACCAATATATGGTACAGTATAGTGGTTTGCAAGTTAGCATCCAGCACGTACACTACAGTTACTGTATGCGTATGCCGTATAGACTATATGGAGTATGTCCACGAGCACCAGTATGTATTTGTGTAATAGTTAGAATAAGGTCGATAAGACACCAGACCTATCAACTGAACTCATTATAACGAAACTCGTATATGTTATATATAGGTACGTTTCATACATGCAGTCAGTTCAGCAACCTGGCAGAGTCGCTCTGTCGCAATTTGATTTTATCTACTTTGTCCTTGATGTCTTCGTATACTTTTGGGGGTTCTTCAATGATATTAGTAAAATTCCATTATAAATAAAGATCGTGTTATCTCACGATACTGTAATGCATACCAACAAAACTAATGAACGATTACTTGATTCTCATCACAATGACATATAATGACATGCAATCACACTCGTGTACGTTAGGACGTACGCATTCATTGAAAAGCATTGTCTGATCTTTTGGGAGATTTTATGCAGGTTTCCATACAAGGATTCGCCTTTCCAATTTCTTCCAAGAATAGCTTAAAAGCTGAGAAGTATCATACCTGTTTGGCTACAGTCTTTAAGCGGCTGATAGAGCATTTCTGAAAAACATCACAAATCCCATGGAAGGTGCACAAGCATGGACAACATGGCGTATCGAAGTAACAGAAGACCTGGAAATCAAAATTATCGAAAAAAAGGAGGCGACCGCTCTTTGTCACTGTGTTACCGACCCAAAATCTCGACTTCTAATTCTTGGTAAACTACAGAACAAGCAAACCTGAAAGAACTGGTGTGTTGAACTACCATGTACCAGTCATTTGTTCTTACGATTACAAGATCTGGATACCTCACAATCGTAAAATCGCCAACAGGTCAAGTCACGTAATAATTAAGGATGCCTGGTCGATTAGGAAAAAAACCATTACAAAATGAGACTCGATATATAACCTGGAATAAAAAGACAACACCATGCATCAAGCAAACTCGCCTATGATAATACTACATGTGTGGTGTTCGGCACGCAGCTTTAGTTTGCTACGGCGGCTCATAAATATCATAACACAATTTATTGCTTGGTGATAGAATTATGTTTCAAAGCGACCAAAGTTTCCTTTATAGCGACAAACCCAAAGTTCCTTTTCTAGCGACCAGACTTTGCTTTTTAGCTACCAAACTTTCTCTCCTAACGACCAACTTTCTTTTTCAGAGAGCACAAGCGAGCAGCGACAACATTTTTAGACACTTCGTGTAATATCCACTGATACTGATTTAAAATGACTGACAAACAGTTTCATGTTTCTGATGAAGAGCATGATATAGAAAACAATTACGAAGAATCCGCTAGTCGGATGTTTCGAAAGTTGCGAAAACGCAATTTTGATTATGATGTTGATTTGGTAAGAAATGCAATTGTATCGCTATTAAAGTGTCTAGATTCTTAACGTGGGGTGCCGTTCGATCTGGCATACCCTACAAGTGAGCGGAATGAAAGTATTCAATATTGCTCGTGGAAATACTAGAAGGCATCGATTAAGAAGGATTTATCATAACCCATATTTATCATAACTTACTCCTGGCATTACAAGTAAGGTTACAAGCTCAAAACATTCGGCTTTCCTATTCATGGGTGTATAGATAGCTGGAGCCGAAAATCATGTACTTTTGTAACGATTTTAGAATGAATTTCGCATATAATTTTGAATACAAAACTGTTCTTTTATAGAATTTTACATAAACCCTTTTCTTAGAGGCACGCCATGTTCAATAATCTACGCATGCGCCAACTAATGTCAACTACGCATGCGCCCATTTTAACCTATAAATTAGCATAAATTATCTCGGAAGTTCGTACACTCCCGCCTTGACAACTTATTTGTCAACACAACGTCTCTTTATTTCTCCGAGAATTGCTGCCTTTCTTCTTGATCTACGATCCTCCTTTTCATGTTTTGGGGTATGTTCGTTCCTAAGCTCCAATGGAAACAGTTTCTGAACGGGACGCCGTATGTACGTTGGTTTCTTGTTGTCCCCCGCAATTTTAATAACAGCAGTGCGTATTTTCCCATCTGTACTACGTATTAGCTCATGAACTCTTGCCAAACGCCACTTTGCTTGAGATCTGTTCTCGTCATGCACACTAACTACATCACCAATGTTGATAGATATTTCTTTCGTCACGCTCAACGAGCCACGATGTTGTTCCCGAAGACTCAGAAAATATTCCTTATGCCATATTTTTCCAGAAACTGTCAGTTAACCTACATAGATACTTCTCTCTTTTTGTTAACTCCGTTCCAGAGATGTCTACCGTTTCTCCTTCACACTTAGAATTTGACATCAAAATTGAACGTCTTCCCATTAATAAATGAGAATGTGTTAAAGGATTAATATTAATGCCCAGCATAAAACACGTAAGATTGACGGCGTTGCTATGGGGTCACCCTTAGGTCCGTTATTCGCCAATATATTCCTGTCTTTTCATGAGTCTTAATTAACTGTCCTGTCAACTTTAAGCCATTATTGTACCGCCGCTATGTTGATGACTGTTTCTTGATTTTCCAGTCTGCTGATCATATACCTCAATTTCTCTCTTATTTAAATCGCCAGCATCCTAATATTAAATTCACTAGTGAAGTTGAATCTAGTTCCACACTTCCCTTTCTTGATATCAGCATTTCTCGGAAGAATGGTGTCTTCGAAACTTCTGTCTATCGAAAGCCCACCTTCACAGGTCTGTTTACCAACTTCCGTAGCTTTATTCCTTTTCAATATAAACGTAGCTTAGTTTCTTCTCTTATTCATCGTTTCTTTAGTCTTTGCTCCAATTATGAGAACTTTCATG